ACACCCCCGCTGGGACCTGCCGGGCTCGGGCCGCTCGAGCGGCGTTTGAGAATATGCTCTGTTTTTTCCTAGTCGTTGTGGTCTAGTATGGATATTTGTTCATATACATCGCTGTCTTTTGCAAAGGTGCTTTTTGGTGGCATGAAAAGGAGGGGTTAGAAGTGATTCACAGGTCAGGACAACAGTTTTAAGTGGACATTTAGGGTTAAACGAAGAAAGAACCCGAGGATGCGTGGGAAGGTTAGCTTTTTCTAAGCATGATGAGATCTTTGGGAGGAAAGTGTACAAGTGTAAATGTGATCTGACCTTATTTCCCCCCTACACCAGGGAGCATGTCTGATAACTGACTCCCTTCTTTTTCTTTTTCTATTTGTGTTTCTACCAAACGTAAGCTTTGCAATAAAGTCACGCTGTTAGCTTGTAGTTATTATTCTACTATTATAAAATAGTCTCTACTTCTATGTAATGTAAGCACCTTCTGAGAAAACTCGGGAGAAGACGGCCTACTATGGAAGTTGTCTATTATAACAATAAAAATTCGCTGCCATTTTTGGAAGGGTTGTATAACAAAACAGACCCCCTGGAAGGCACCTGTCCTTTCTGGTCCCCACCCCCCAAAGGATATTCCCTACAAGTGAAATCTGACTAAAATGAAAACTGGATAGCGTTAAAGAGGTGAAGCAGTAGCCAAAAAGGAAGTGGTATTACAAAAGGGCAATGCTTAGAGCAGGGGAGAAAAAGGAAGGAACAGTCCCCCCCGCCTTGTTTTCTGCTGCTGAACAGAACAATTTGCTGAGCTTATAAAATGTTCTGGCTAGCCACAACCACGCACTAGCTTTCACCGTGTACCTGCCATCTCTTGGGTGATTTCACAAATCTGCATACCTGGATGTGGAAGCAGCGAAAGGGGCCCCAAAATAAGAGAGCCCGGGGCACTCACTCTGATTCACTATTTAATGGAGATTGTATTGCTGACCATGTTATTTAATAAGTAGTATTATTGCTGGGTTTGGGGTGTTTTTTGGGTGTTTTTTAAATGTATTTTAACTACTTGGTTTCCTCTCTTTAGATTAACATTTGGGAGACAATTTTATGATCTTTGAGTCACCCGTGGAGTAATGTGGACAGAAGTTCTCAACCTTGCATGTTACATCAACCGGAACCAGCGGTGTATATTAATGTTCACTTAAAGCAGAACTTGTATAAGAAAAAGAATGGGAGTCTGGTTAAATAAAGATGACTATGTCGGAGACTTGAAAAGGGTCATTCTCTGCTTTCTAATAGTGTATATGGCTGTTGTAGTGGACACAGATCAGGATTTTTACAGTTTACTTGGAGTATCCAAAACTGCAAGCAGTAGAGAAATAAGACAAGCTTTCAAGAAGTTAGCATTGAAGCTTCATCCTGATAAAAACCCGGTAGGTAAAAATTTCTTTTTAAACATATCTCATTAATGCATGTTAGTAACTTTGAGTATCTACTTAAATTAGTTTAAATAATATGTGCTCAAAATGCTTAAGAACATTCACATGTCAAAAATTGTAATTCAACTTAAGTATTAAAAACATAATAAGCAAAAGTGTCTGTTTAGAACAATGTAAAGACATGTCAGTACCAAAACTGCAATTACCTCTTAATTTGAAAACTAAATTTCCAACAGTTCTACTACAGATGTTAATCCCAAAGCAGGCAATGTCTGTGAAGTAGTTTTCTTAGTAAAGTAGGTTAAGATCAAGTATTTTAAAGCAGTAAAAAAAATTATTTTCTTAGAAGTTAGAGAGTATGTCTTGGTAAAAATGGCATGCTATTAATAGCATGCTATTACTATTTCACTATTTTCTCCCATGCACAAGTTTAAGACCAGAGTCAGAAAGTATTTTAAGTAAAACTTGAGAACAACCACATCTAGTTAATTCTAATCATAAATATTTGATTATGTGTCCCATAATGTAATCTTTCAAAACTGAATTAATTTTAATTCTTTTGATATGTTTATAATTCACCTAATTAATTTTTTATTGAGATTTGATATTCATCAAGGAGAAAGATAGGTTCTAATTTTCTACTTTCTAGATAGAATTTTTTAAAGGATTATTTCATTTTGATTGCATTAAGCTGAGCACTAGAATCAGTATTTTTCTAAAACTCTCATTACTTGGTAATCTTTCCCCAGAACCTGTATTCTGCTATTTTAACATATTTTTATTGATTTTTAGATAGAGACAAAGGCAGAGGGAGAGAAATATCTATCAGCTGCTTCCTGTAAACCCCACCTGGGGATCAGCCCAAAGCCAGTCCTGGTGTGTGCCCTGACAGGGAGTCAAACGTGACTTCCTGGAGCGAAGGCTAATGCTAAATCCACTGAGCTGCCCTGACCGGTTTGGCTCAGTGGATAGAGCGTCGGCCTGCGGACTCAAGGGTCCCAGGTTCGATTCCGGTAAAGGGCATGTACCTTGGTTGCGGGCACATCCCCAGTAGGGAGTGTGCAGGAGGCAGCTGATCGATGTTTCTCTCTCATTGATGTTTCTAACTTTCTATCCCTCTCCCTTCCTCTCTGTAAAAAATCAATAAAATATATATTTTTTTTAAAAATCCACTGAGCCATACTGGCTGGGCTGTATTCTATCTATAGGATTTTTATTTTTCTTTGAAATTTCAGAATTCGATTTTTTTTTGTTTCCATATGAAAAATGGTAGACCTACAACTAAGTATTATTTGGATGAAAGCATTCTTCAAAAACCAATTGAACCAGTAACAAATAAGGACTATTTCCAATCCAGTTTTAAGTCGTTACTCTGATACTAGTTTTTATTTACTAGTAATTATCTGATGGATTGGGGCACATACTTTTTATTTAGTTAATATATTAGTTTTGCCTCAAATAGCAAAATAACCTACAAATTTCTTTGTAATTGTTTTAGGGGCAACAGATAACGCTTAACAAATACAAAGGCTTTTCAAGGGTTCATAAGTTGGCCTTTTCTCAGTTGCATTTCTTAGAAGGAATGACTTACCTTGTATAAACACACCTATCAATCAGACTTTTGAGGCATCAGTTCTCATTTTTTTAAGATTGCCGTTCTTAAAAAATCCTTTTTTATTTTAATGCATGATAACCCACTTCATATTGTACTACTACTCCTAACTTGGATATCTATTCTCCCCAAAATCTCAGGATTAAATTAAATCTAGATACAGGTTCTGAAGATACTTGATTATGTATCTGAAATAAATGTTATATCTAATGTTTTTTAATAGAATAACCCAAATGCACATAGTGATTTTTTAAAAATAAATAGAGCGTATGAAGTACTCAAAGATGAAGATCTTCGAAAAAAGTATGACAAATATGGAGAAAAGGGACTTGCAGATAATCAAGAAGGAGGCCAGTATGAAAGCTGGAATTATTATCGTTATGATTTTGGTAAGATAATATGATATACCTTATGAAATGATTGTTTTTTATTTGGATAAATTCAGAAAATTAATTTTGTTTCACCACTTAGCTTATGTAGTTAATACGTTTCACCTTGACTCTTTTTAATGTAACATAAGAGTGTTATTCAAAAGGAAAATCAGGTGATAGCTATTATCTGAACAGATATGAAGGTATTTGGGTCATAATCTTGTTAAATGCTTGTAAAATAAGGTTTGCTGTTTAATTTAAAAATACATTAGAAGTTAAATATTGAAGCTTTTCAAGATTTTTACAGCAGCATATTTTCCAAGAAAAGCTAGTTTCTTTTAAGTTTAATAGTGGTCACTTCAGTAGAAATGCCATCTTTAATAATTGTTTACAGTGTTGATAGGAATAAGAAATAAGGTAAGAGCAGAGATGGTAAAAAATCAAGGGGAAAAAAAAAATCAAGGGAAAGCCCAGCTGGCGTGGCTCAGTGGTTGAGTGTCGACCTATGAACCAGGGGGTCACAGTTTGATTCCTGGTCAGAGCACATGCCTGGTTGTGGGCTCCATCCCCAGCGAGGGGTGTATAGGAGGCAGGCAATCAGTGACTCTCTCATCATTGATGTTTCTCTCCCTCTCCATTCCTCTCTGAAATCAATAAAAATATGTATTTTTTAAAAATCAAGGGAAAGGGAGAGTAAGCAGGTATCACGGCAAGAGGGAGCATTCAAGTACCTAATGTTTCTCTTCTTAGATCAGCGGTTCTCAACCTGTGGGTCGTGACCCCTTTGGCGGTTGAACGACCCTTTCACAGGGGTCGCCTAAGACCATCCTGCATATCAGATATTTACATTACGATTCATAACAGTAGCAACATTACAGTTATGAAGTAGCAACGAAAATAATTTTATGGTTGGGTCACAACATGAGGAACTGTATTTAAAGGGCCAGAAGGTTGAGAACCACTGTCTTAGATCATTAATTAACCTCAAATGTAGGATAAGAATTGAAGTATGCCTTTATATTCAACTAAAATATTTTCAATTTATAGCTATTATATATGTTTCTTAAGACTATCTTTTCTAAGTATTATTTTCAGGTATATTCACTACAGCATGATAGCTATTTCAGGTGTTAGCAATTTACATTTCACAGTGTAAATCTAGCCTGCCACCTATTTTTGTAAAGTTTTATTGGATACAGGCATACCTCATCTCATTGGGATTCACAGGTCTTGCATTTTTTACAAATTGAAGGCAAGACCCTCCACCAGCAAAAAGATTACAACTACCTTTGATCCTACCTTTATTGTGGTGGTCTGGAACCAAACTGCAATTTTCTGAGTTATGCCCAGTTATGTTCATTTATTTACATATTGTCTATGGCTGCTTTCACACTTGAGTAGTTGTGACAGAAATTATATTTCCCACAAAGCCTGAAATAGTTACTAACTGGCCTCTATAGAAAAAAGTTTGCTGAACCTTGGTCTATATCCATCACTAATATTATTTGGATGTTTCATAATGGTATTGAGAAATTTTCACATTGGTTTTAATTATTATGGTAAATAAAATTTATATTTACTTAATAAGTTTGTCTCTACCTCTGTAAGTATTTTAATTATAAAACTTTAAGCCATAGAATATAATTTTAAATGATGCCACTTATTAAAAACATATAATTGAAAAATAAATGAGGTCTGTAGTCTAGTTAACAGTAATGTACCAGTGCTAATTTCCTGGTTTGGATATTGTTCTAAAACTATGTAACATATCACCTAGGGCAGTGGTCGGTAAACTCATTAGTCAACAGAGCCAAATATCAACAGTACAACAATTGAAATTTCTTTTGAGAGCCAAATTTTTTAAACTTAAACTATATAGGTAGGTACATTGTTATTAACTTAATTAGGGTACTCCTACGGCTTAGGAAGAGCCACACTCAAGGGGCCAAAGAGCTGCATGTGGCTCGAGAGCCACAGTTTGCCGACCACGGACCTAGGGGAAGCTTGGGGAAAAGGTAAATGAGAGTCTGTACCACTATTTCAAAAGAAAAAGTTTAAAAAAACATAGTAGGAATTTTCTGTGAAGATAAAATTTTGTGAATATTGGGAATCCCACAAACACACACACCTATGACAATCCATATCAGAAACTAATATCTCGATCATTCTTTAAAGGTACCAGCAGTGGTTTTGTGTACTCTAGGTCTCCCTCTTAGTTTGTTGCATACTTTTCAACTTTGAGGTTTAGTAATCTGATTTTGATGATTAAAACAAGAGTAAATAACCTATTTTAAATGTGGCAATTTACTTTTATGATGAAGTTTTAATTTTATAATTTTTATGGACTTTTAAAATTAGGTATTTATGATGATGATCCTGAAATCATAACATTGGATAGAAGAGAATTTGGTAAGTTTATGGGTATACAGTTATCATCAACTTTCCTTCCATTGTCTTAATGAACTTTAATGACTTCCCTGTGCAGTAGCTACAATTATTCCTCACATTTTACAGCATCACATGAATTGAAATCTTGGAAGGGGTACTAAGCAATATCCTCAACATCTATGCATGTGTGTTTGTGTCTGATTGGCACATTTGAAATTATAATGAACCAAGATCATTCTTTTTTCTACATCATTATTTTCCACATTATTAAAATATTTTTACAATGTTTCAGATTATGTTAAGTGAAAAAAAGCCTAAAACCAAATTTTATATGCAGTGTAATACAAATCATGCAAAAGGTCAAAGAACAGCTGATAAAATTCTAAATTATACACCTTGTCTATAATGTATGGGTTAACTATTCTTCCCATAGGCTTGTGTGTTTTGTAATTGAAATGTAGGTGAATACTGAGTCTTACACATGTTACTAATTAACCTGAATCAGTTACACATACTTATAATAGTATGCATGTTTTGATGTCTTACTATACTTCTTATAATTAAGAAACTTTAAAAATTCACTGATTTTGATGTGAAATTATATGGAAACTTTAGCCAAAAGCAAATTGTCTTCACCTTTTTATCTTAAATGTTACATTGTTAAAATTTTTAAATGAATAAATTTTGTTGACTTATATAAGATTATCTTATCTACACTAATAAAAGAGAAACACGCAAATTGGTGTCACTCCGCTACGGCCACCAGCCAATCAGAGCGACTATGCAAATTAACCCAACAAAGATGGCAGTTAATTTGCATACATAGGCACTGAGTGAAGACTGAAGATGGAGGTGGCCACGGAGCTGGAGCGAGCAGGAGGCTTGGGTTGCTCCCAGCAACAGAGGAAGCCAAGCTTCCCACCAGCCCTGGGCTCTGCTCAAGGAGGGGCTGGGGGCCTGGGCTCCTCTCAAGGAGTGGCTGGGGGCCTGGGTCGCCAGGGCAACCCAGGCTTCCAGCCAGTCCTGGCCTCCGCTCGAGGAGCTGGAAAAAAAAGAAAAGGAGGGGCTGGGAGAAGCCAAGCCTCGCTGCTGCGGCTGGACCAAAGGCCTGGGTCCTGGGTGCCGGAGGAAAACCCGTGCCAGCAGCCAGGGGAAGGAAGGCCTATTGTGCGAATCTTCGTGCAAAGGGCCACTAGTCCTATATAATAAAAGCCTAATATGCTAAGTGTTCAGTCATCCAGTTGACCGTTCAACCAATCAAAGCGTACTATGTTAATGATACACTAAGGCTGCCCAACTCTTTGCTATGATGTGCACTAACCACCAGGGGGCAGACGCTCCGACCTGTAGGTTAGCTTGCTGCTGGGGTCCGGCCGATCAGGACTGAGCAAGATGGGCTGGACAAGCCCTGAAGCCCTCCCACAGTCCCTCCTGCTGGCCAACCACCCGCATCCCACCCCAACGCCGATCATGCACGAGTGGGATCCCTCAGCCTGGCCTGTGCCCTCTTGCAATCTGGGACCCCTCAGGAGATGTCGGAGAGCTGGTTTTGGCCTGACGGTGGAACAGCCAGTCGCTATGATGCACACTGACCACCAGGGGGCAGACACTCAATGTAGGAGCTGCCCCCTGGTGGTCAGTGTGCTCCCACGGGGAGTGCTGTTCAGCCAGAAGCTGGGCTCACGGCTGGCAAGCGCAGCAGCGGCGGCGGGAGCCTCTCCTTCCTCTGCGGCAGCACTAAGGATGACCGACTAACAGCTAAGGCCCACTCCCTGTGGCTTAGGCGGTTCTCAACCTGTGGGTCGCGACCCCTGAAAAATACATCCTACATATCAGATATTTACATTACGATTCATAACAGTAGCAAAATTACAGTTATGAAGTATTTTACAAAATAAGTATGTTTTGAATTATTAAAAATCTTGATACTTTTCAAATAATGCAGTTTTCCAAGGGAAATGTCTGCCATCAGACATCCCCCTAGAGCTCCTGGACTGCGAGAGGGAGCAGGCCAGGCTGAGGGGACCCCCACCCCCACCCCCGCCTGAGTGCACGAATTTCAGATTATAATGTATAATGTATTGTTGGCTAGACATTATGTGGTGTTCAGTTCTATTATTTTACAAAATAAGTATTTATGTTTTGAATTATTAAAAATCTTGATACTTTTCAAATAATGCAGTTTTCCAAGGGAAATGTCTTAAGGCAAAGATTAAATTGAATCCCAGAGTCCTTACTACATTGTCTAGGCCTCTTATTTCATTCTTTCAGAATTTGAAATAACTGTCAGAATTGATTGACCCCATGTTTAACTTATGCTGCAGATAGTAGAAGAGCTTAAATCTCAGTTCAGTCTCTTACTGTTTTTCTTCTTCATTTCTCTCACCCACACAAACTCTTCCATGAGCTTTGGCTGTTGCTGCCTTTCTTTTTACAGCTTCATGGTGAGATGGTATTAAGCAGTTCAAGGCTGCTGCTTGTACAAGTATGGGCTTCGAAGAGTTTCTTTAAAAAGGTATTTGACAGTTGAAGTACATTTTTTTATAGAAAATTTTGTGCAGAAAATTATTGATAAAGGCAGTATGAAAGATGTATGACTTTTTTTCTTTCTGATCACAACAAAAATTTTTTAACCGAACTATGCACAAACCTCAGCAAATAGTTCTAAGTTGTTTTGGTTTCATGTACTTTTAGATGCTGCTGTTAATTCTGGAGAACTGTGGTTTGTGAACTTTTACTCTGCAGGATGTTCACACTGTCATGATTTAGCTCCCACAGTACGTATTTTTTACATCCTGATTATTAAAGTTTTATTATTTCTAATTGATCTGTTATTTGAGTTTTTTAATATATTGGGATTTTGCTATTAACAGCAATTATAGCTATCAGTAATAATTATGTATTTTCACATATTTATGGTTTTATTTGCTAAAAATAGTCTTTAAGTATGTATAGCTTGAAGAATGTTCAAGGGAAGTGTTCAGAGAAATACTTATGTTTCCTTTTTTCTCATAGTGGAGAGACTTTGCTAAAGAAGTGGATGGATTACTTCGAATTGGAGCCGTTAACTGTGGCGATGATAGAATGCTTTGCCGAATGAAAGGAGTGAACAGTTATCCCAGCCTCTTCATATTTAGGTCTGGAATGGTAAGGGATAAAGTTAGCAGTTTTTAAATTTGGGGAACTTTATGATAAAGAAAATACTAGAGAAAACACAAGATGAGAATTTGTAGAATGCTTTGGTATTTACGTTTTACTTTAGGTACTGTCTAACTCATCTCTAGTCATAATAAACATTTTGAGTATTACAAATACTTTTAGATGCCTTTACAGTTCACCTTGGAATAATAACATAGAGGTTAGTGGCGCCTATAGAAAAATGCATAGCCCGGTCGACCTATGAACTAGAGGTCATGGTTTGATTCCTGGTTAGGGCACATGCCCATCCCCAGTAGGAGATGTGCAGGAGGCAGCTGGTCAATGATTCTCATCATTGATGTTTCTCTCTCCCTCTCCCTTCCTCTCTGATACCAATAAAAAAATTAAAAAAATTTAAATGCGTGTAACTCAAGTGAGCGCTCTGCATGCACGGATTCCCAATCTCCAGTTGACCCTTCACAGGAGTTTGAACTGCAGACAGTTAAAAACGAAGTGGACCAATTGAAAAATTCCAAGTATAAGTGGACCCGTGCAGTTCAACCCACATCATTCAATGGTCAAATGATGACTTTCAAAATTAAATGATTGCCAATTTCTGTTTCTATCTTAAAGAACATAGTATAACCAATATGCGCATATTCTTCTTTATAGTTTACAAAGTATTTTCAGGTATTGTCTCATTGAAGATAAAATTTTGATGTCGCTTTTTTCCCAGTCTTAAGTGATAAAACTGAAACAAAAATTATAAATAGTATTATTAAAATGTCTTCCTTGAAATCTATACAATCAAGATTTTCAGTATATCATTTGGAGATACATTGTACATTTAAGAGGCAGATCTTACTGTGTTTTTCAAAATAATGTAGAATCAAAAGTATTATTTTTAGTGGTGTTTTTAAAAGAAAAAGTAAAATATGTTTCCCTTTTTATTAAAAAACCAATAGGCTGCAGTGAAATACCATGGTGACAGATCAAAGGACAGCTTGGTGAGCTTCGCCATGCAGCATGTCAGAAGCTCAGTGACAGAACTGTGGGCCGGTAATTTTATTTTCTTAATTTGCTTGATTTTTAAGGCTCCTTTGAAATTTATATTTTGTTTTTCAGTGGCAGTATTAATATTTTGGTCATCATATTGAAATTTTAAAATACTTTTTTGATGCTTTTAGAAGGGAATTGTGTGTTTTGTTCTGACCACTACTAAATAGTAGGCATTTAACAAATGAATTATATGTGTACAGAAACTAAAACAATAAGATATGGGAAATAGATATGAGGTGGGGCTAGAGGAAAAGGCAAATTTCAAAATGCAACTAAATGTTTAGCAAACCAAGTGTTTTATTGCTTTCATAAGTATACTATATCGGGCAGTAAATTCCTGCCTATCCAGTTTAATTTTAAAGTTTAAAAACTCTTCTAATATTAGGCTTTTAATTCTTCAATGTTTTTAGATGGGCTATTTTAACTACTATGTATTACCCATGAAATGATGGTGTTCACATCTAAAGGGTATTCATTGAATACCATTTATTGTCTCTGAAACTATGTTCAATACTAGGGCTGCAGTAATAAAATAAATAGCCCCTGCCTTCAGGGACCTCTTTATTTGTCAAGAAAGACACTAGTAAACCATTAAAATTCAGCATAGTAACTATGATGGTAAAGGTAAGCTTATGGAAGCATGAAGGATAAGGAAACTCAGGTGGGGAATGGGAAAAGGTTAGTAGATGCTTCTGGAATGAGGTCAGACCCAATCTGTCATGAAAACGAAGAGGAAGCCTTAAAGGCTCATTGTGTATTTGGGAAACTGGCAGTATTTCATGACTCTAACAGAAGGATGTGTAATGCATTAGTGGCTTGGGGAGAAATATGGCTGGCTGCAAGGGTAGATCTTACCAATTTGAGTTTCCTAATGAAATAATGAATTTAGATTTTATGTGGTGGGAAAAAAAAATGGAGAGCTGGTGAATGAATTCTACATACTCAAAAGGATTTTTAGAAATTCCTGACTACTCAGAGTGGATTGGAAGAGGGTGAAATTAGGAGAGAAAAAAAAAATTCAGAAAACTGTTTTCATTATCAAGTAACAAGTGATCAGAAATTTGCTTTATTTTCTTTTAAGGAAATTTTGTTAACGCAATACAAACTGCTTTTGCCTCTGGTATTGGCTGGCTGATAACATTCTGTTCCGAAGGAGGAGGTAATTTATTCATTATTTTGTTATGAAGAGACCATGACATATAATTTTTAAATGACAATCTTTTTTACTTTTTCAGCTTTATTAAGATATAATTAAATAGCATTGTGTAACTTGAAGGGGTCAATATGTTGATTTGATACACTTCCAAAATGATTACCACCATAGCATTAGCTACCATCTCCTTCCTGTCAAATAATTGCCATTTCTTTTTTGTAGTGAGAACATTTAAGATGTACTCTCTTAGCAACTTTTAAGCATATAATATACTATTATTAGCTATAATCACTACATGTTGTACACTAGATCCCCAGGACTTGCTAATCTTATAACTGGAAGTATGTATCCTTAGGCTAGGTGACCATCTTGAGTATGCTACTATAATTGATTGTTCAGTACTCCAAACTACAATTTATATACAAGGTTATAACTTTTTACTTAATAAATATTTTTCTTTCTATTATTTTTCACATGGGAGGTTTTAAAATTATTAATTTTTTAAAGTATCGTTTATGGTTTCTGTTCAGTGGGCAAGTTTTTCAGCCTAATTATATTCACAGTAAGTGATATGTTCAGATAGTCACAGATGTACATATTTATCAGTTTGCAAAAACAGTCATTTACAGATACAGTCCTCCCAAAATAATAATTTTTGGAGTTATTGACATTGCCTCATACTTATGCATATAAATATGTATACATGGTTACCTCATAACATTATATATTTGAAAATGACAACTTTCTATTTCTAGGAACCTTTCCCTCAGTAGATTAAGTTGAAAATACCCAACCTGTCAAACCACGAACTATAAACTGTATTTAAGCCATGTGATTGCTTAAAAATTGGTCCCAGTATTACAGAATATTCTAATTCAGCCCAGCTGGCATGGCTCAGTGGGAGCATCGATTTATGAACCAGGAGGTCACAGTTCAATTCCGGGTCAGGGCACATGCCCAGGTTGCTGGCTCGATCCCCAGTAGGGGGTATGCAGGAGGCAGCCAATCAATCTCTCATCATTGATGTTTCTATCTTTCTCTCCCTCTCCCTTTCTCTCTGGAATCAATAAAAATATTTTAAAAGAAAAAAATATTCTAATTCATTAATATCTTTTCATATGTTTAATCCCAACATGAATCTTTTCCTGAAACTTCACCTCACAGCCTTTATGCTGCCATGTTGAGGAGGTATTGCCTTGAAAATAAAATCACCCTTAAATTTAATCTATCCTTGAGGAGTTTATTCATTTTGGCCTAATGCACAAATTTTTGTCCATTTACACATGAAAAAACTTTTGAAATTAGAGATTTTACATATCTCTCTAGGCTCTGTGATGCTACAGCTCCCTTTCTTCAAAGTTATCTCATTTACTGTTAGTATTCATATTTACAGAACTTTTATAAAAATAATGAAGAGGCTATTTTATCTTATTTTAAGGATTTTTGCATATTTTTATCAAAAAAAGTTCATTACATGTTATTTCTCCAAAATTGTGAGATATCTTAGGTAAAGGGGATTATTGATCAGAGAAATTTGAGAGTAAGATCCTAAAGGAATGCTTGAGAGAAAATTACTCCTTTTCTCTTTAGCTGGAAATCCTGGGATTCTAAGGGGGAGGAATAAAAGAATTAGTGAGTGAGTGAGAGAGGTAATGTGTTATGTGTGTAGAATGAGACTTTGACCACAGTAGTTACCTAGTAAATAAAGATTTCAGTATTTACCAGTAGAGCTCAAATAATTGTCTTTGAATCAGCATGATAGCTTCGTGAAAAGGCAAATGAAAGTATACACTCAATAGAACTGAAATTGCTTGCTATTTTTTTCCTTCCAGATTGTTTGACTTCACAGACACGTCTCAGGCTTAGTGGCATGTTGGTAAGCATCAATTATTTTGTAAGACTACTAGCATATAGCCATGTCAAAAAAAAAACACAAACACCACACACATACACACATTTAAAAACGGATTTCAGATATTGTATTTGGTAGTTTTTTGAACATTTAACTCGCTTATTTGTAATCTTTCTTATTTTCTGATAAATGTAGTCATAGTTGTAGGTTTTTAATAATGAACTGTGTTCAGTAAATTTTGGCATGTGGTGCTTTCATTGTCATTCACTGCTAAGTATTCTTTAATTTAATTATGAAGTCCTTTTTAACCAAAGAGTTATATATTAGTGTTTTTATCATTTCCAAACTTTATTGTTTTGTTTGTTATTTTTGTTATTTAGTTAGCTCTCATCATATAATGGTTGGGAAGTAGTCTTTGTTTTTGATACTTTGTTGTTGAAGCTCCCTTTGGGGGGAAACTTGGTCTTCCACTTGCAACAGGACCTATGTTTTCATTGTTGTTTCTTTCTATTTTAGGATGGTCTTGTTAATGTAGGATGGATGGACTGTGCCACTCAGGCCAACCTTTGTACAAGTTTGGATATAACAACAAGTTCTACTGCCTATTTTCCTCCTGGAGCCACTTTAAATAACAAAGAGAAAAGCAATGTTTTGGTATGAATCATTTTCATTTCTTTGAATGCACACACTTAAATATGTTTTTTTTTAATCAAAGAGTAAGAAAATGAATCAGTTTATATCATCTGAATGTGGAACATTTAATAATCTAGAACAAATTTAATTTCTGGGATTCTGTTTAATACATTATTCAGTTTGTAAAGTCTGCTATAAGAATTATTTTTAACTGGCATAAACTATTATACTTTCAAACCTCAAAGGTATGGAATACATTTTTAGGTTAAATGAATTTTCATTAGTTTCCATTTATTTGTATATTTTCTGATGTTAAAATACAGATCATTGGTCGGTTTGGCTGGAACCCGGTATCTACTTTTTTTAAGCACCCTGTTAGATTCTGGTATAAACTCGGTGTGGAGATCTGCTGGTATGGTTCACCTCCCTAGTTTTAAGAATGAGGAAACTGAGTGTCAAGCTAGTTATCAAGGAGTTGGGATAAACAATGGGATATCAGACAAGTTTCTGAGGAACTCCAAAAGAAAAGAAAGACTCTAAGAAGAACAAACTTCCTTTAGTTTTCTTTTCTGTAAATTCTTTTTTTTTTTTTGATGTTGATGAACAGACATACTCATTACAGAAATTCATATATAGTAAAGCAATGCTTAAAGAAAGATGAAAAATTTACTGAAACCAAATCACCAATAGACCAGCACCATCAAATTTTGGTAAATATCCTTCCAGAACTCTGCGTAGGTGTGCATACTATTAGGACTTGGTGCCGATGACTCTTTGGTTTTATCTGTGGCCTAGGTCTCTGCCCTCCACTCCAGACTGCATTCTACTACCTATTCAACATCTCTCCTGGGATATTAATTGAGGTCTCAAACTTGGATATCTGCAACTGTACTCCTGATAGTCCCTAATAAATCTGCTCTACCCACAGTTTTCCCCATCTCAGTTGATGAAATATAAATGTAATATATGTGGTACTTACATGCCATGCACACAAACAGAGGTGGGCAAAAGTAGGTGTACAGTTGTAATGCAAATAATATAATAAATAATATAAGAGTAAACTATGTTTTGCATAGTCACATTAATGCAAATAATATAATAACAAATAATATAAGAGTAAACTATGTTTTGCATAGTCACAACTGTAAACCTAGTTTTGCCCACCCCTGTGTATATATAATCATTATCAACAACCCCTGAATAGTAATTCATTGGCTAAAGGTGACATACTTAGATTAATCATTCCTCTCTTAATAGATATTTAAGTTGTTTCTACTTTTGATGATTATAAGCAGTGTAATGAACAATCTTATTCATCTTTTTGTTCTTCAATTATCTGTTTAGAATGAGATAGCTGCGGCAAGTTAAATTCCATTCATGTTGCCAAACTGCCCTACAGAAATTTGTTTAACTCTGTGCCATCAGTTCATGACATTTGCCTATACCCTGGCCAACAGTTAATATAGGGTCTTACCTTCAGTAACATGCAACTTCATATTTTAGTGAGCCTTTGGGATTTTTTATATAAACTGCAAGCTCAGAATCAATCTTAGAAAACATAAATGAGTCATACTGGAAATGTAATAACCAGGAGTGATGGATTAAAGTCCTTATCCCTCCTAAAAGCATTTACGTTTTAAAAAATATAAGACACTATGCCAGCTAAATATGTCTGGAAGGTGAAATTTAGAGACTGTACAGTGTCCTTTTATATATACAACTACCAAGTTTTACACCGAGACAGACAGGTTTATAATGAGTTTCTAGTGTATTCATCACTTATATATTTACTAGAGGCCCACTGCACGAAATTCGTGCCTGGGTAGGGTCCCTAATAGCTGCCAGCTGCTGGCTGGGGCCTTCCTTCATTCTGCACCGCCTCCTGGTGGTCCACTCATGTCATGGCAAGTGATGGAACTGTCGGTCGAACTCCCGAGGGGACACTTTGCATATTAGGCTTTTATATATACACTAGAGGCCTGGTACATAAAATTAGTGCACGGTGGGGGGGTCCCTCAGCCCAGCCTGCACCCTCTCCAATCTAGGATCCCTCTTGGAATCCGGGACTGCTGGCTCCTAACCGCTCTCCTGCCTGCCTGATCACCCCTAACTCCTCTGCCTGCCTGCCTGATTGCCCCTAACTGCCTCTGCCTGCCAGCCTCATCGCCCCTACCTTGCCCCCCTGCCGGCCTCATCGCCCCTAACCGCCTCTGCCTCGGCCCCCGGCCTAAGCCGCAGTCTGGCCTACCTCTGCGGGAGGCGACCTGGCGGATCAGGGGAAGGCGCTGCCCTAATTACCCCGCTGCTGCTGCCACTGCTGGCCTGAGCCTGGGCCCTTCGCAGCCATGCCTTGGCCCTCACAGCTACTGCGGTTTTGTCCAGAAGGTTGTCCAGAAGACATCTGCCCTAATTAGCATATTACCCTTTTACTGGTATAGACTTAGGGGCCCAGTGCATGAATTTATGCACCTTGAAAGGAACTGTGGGCCACCAGGCTGCGGTGGGCACAGGGGCGGATCTCAGCCCATCCTCTGCGCCCCCGCCCAGCCCCTCCAGTCACGGCCCCCGGTCCCCTGTCTGCCGTCAGCCCCTCTCCTGCCACCGCTGCTAACAGCACTGGCCCTGCTCGCACCCGCTGATGGTGCGGAGCCATTGGGGCCAGCGCCAGCAGTGGGTGTGAGAGGGGCCAGTGCCGGTGGGAGGTGTGACTGCCGGGCAGGACCGCAGCACATGGGAGCAAAGAATCTTCAGTAACCACCAGAGGCTTGCCCCAATGACAGTGACTGGCGCCCCACCTTGGTCTGGCACCCCCGCTCACCTGCTCCACCATCCCACCACGGCCGATGCCCACCATGTTCCGCGCGCATGCCCCCTGGTGGTCAGTGCACATCATAGCAATTGATGCCTTGGCCCTCACAGCTACTGCGGTTTTGTCCGGAAGGTTGTCCAGAAGACATCTGCCCTAATTAGCATATTATCCTTTTACTGGTATAGACTTAGGGGCCCAGTGCATGAATTTATGCACCTTGAAAGGAACTGTGGGCCACCAGGCTGCGGTGGGCACAGGGGCGGATCTCAGCCCATCCTCTGCGCCCCCGCCCAGCCCCTCCAGTCACGGCCCCCGGTCCCCTGTCTGCCGTCAGCCCCTCTCCTGCCACCGCTGCTAACAGCACTGGCCCTGCTCGCACCCGCTGATGGTGCGGAGCCATTGGGGCCAGCGCCAGCAGTGGGTGTGAGAGGGGCCAGTGCCGGTGGGAGGTGTGACTGCCGGGCAGGACCGCAGCACATGGGAGCAAAGAATCTTCAGTAACCACCAGAGGCTTGCCCCAATGACAGTGACTGGCCCCCCACCTTGGTCTGGCACCCCCGCTCACCTGCTCCACCATCCCACCACGGCCGATGCCCACCATGTTCCGCGCGCATGCCCCCTGGTGGTCAGTGCACATCATAGCAATTGGTTGGTTGTTCGGTTGTTCTGCCTTTGGTCTATTTGCATATTAGGGTTATATATATAGATAAGATAAGCTGCTATCGGAGTATTTTTAGCAAAATCTTCATAATGAATGTGACTAAAGTGAATGAGCTGTAGTACAGAGGCATGAAAGAATTCTGTTTTGACCTCTTAAGGCCTTTGGTAACAAAATATTTCATATAGAGCTTTAAGAATATTTATGCTATAGATTAAAAAAAAACAGAAAAACAAATTTCCAGGAGGAAAAACTGACTATGCTGTTCTTTTTTCTTTTTTTTTTTTTAAATATATTTTATTGGTTTTTTACAGAGAGGAAGGGGGGAGAGAGATAGTTAGAAACATCGATGAGAGAGGAACATCGATCAGCTGCCTCCTGCACATCTCCTACTGGGGATGTGCCCGCAACCCAGGTACATGCCCTTGACCGGAATCGAACCTGGGACCTTTCAGTCCGCAGGCCGATGCTCTATCCACTGAGCAAAACCGGTTTCGGCTGACTATGCTGTTCTTATTCCCATTGTTTCTATCCATTGTTTCATATCAAGCACAATTAAGCTGTGAATACAGTGGTAGTTCTTAAAAGTTTTAATGGAGTTTTAGATCTTTCAAGTAGTATTTGAATTGTCAAACATGGATGGTTTTTAATTAAATATATATTAAACTTTTGTCAACCCATATACATTTTCTTGATATAACCACTGCTGCACTCTTTGTAGTAATAGCTGCTTCATTGAGAATTAGACCACCAGATAGTTCTGTGAGAAAAATATGCTGAGGATGAAATATGGGCAGAAGTAAAGGTGATGTGTTAGAAGGGAGGTGTGCCTTCTTCAGTTATTTGTTTGTATTTTAAATGAGACCTAGATCTAAAACATATTTAAAATAAGGTCTTTACCAGTATAGTTTACTCTGCAAAACTCATAGGTAGTTTGGTTTTTTGGACATTATTTCTGAAAACCTCTATAATAAGGTGCCTTTTCATTTTCTAGTTATAAGTTCTTATCTTAATTCCTATTAATTATTGGTTGGGGTATGAAGTGTCTTGGGTCATCAAATACTCTAGTGTTTTAACAATTCTTAAATAATGGGTAAAGCATTGTCATTCTGTATGAAACATGGTTAGCATTAACATTGAACTGAACATAAGATAGCACTTTCCTCGTGATGCAGTTACTCCAGTGTGTTGTGAGGATTATTGTAGGACACACAGAACAGTTAATAGGCAATTCCAGGTAATGAAACACCTAATAATGAAATTTGTTTTACATCACTTTTTTAAAAAACAGCCCAGTTATACAATTTTTAATAATTGCCAAAATATGATAATACTTTTGGGGGGGGGGGATTAACATTTAGAATAAATAGCTTGAAAACTATTTAACTTCTGTGACTTTTTTCCTTAAAAGTTCTTCTGTGGAAACAACAACAACAAAAAAGACACTAAAGTAAATGGATGTTGACTTAAAAAAATTACAATATAATTCTCTTATTCTAGTTTCTTAATTCATTGGATGCTAAAGAAATATATTTGGAAATAATGCATAATCTTCCAGATTTTGAACTACTTTCAGCAGACACACTAGAGGTAATATTTTTATAATGATAAGTAATGTTGCTAACATTTTAAGTCTTCATATTTTAGCCAACATTTGGTTTATTCATCACTAGAGAGAAAGTAGCAGTTTCAAAGGATTATATATCAGTCAATTTTAGGTTAAACTCTAATTGACAGAGCTGCTGGTGGTATGGGGAGGATCTGTAGTTTTGTAAAACCTAACCAGTCCTAAAGGGCTTCAGGAATGTCATAAAAGCAAGATTTTGATCACAAAGCCGCTTTGGATCTAATGGGAAACTTTGTTCTTGATTACAGAACTATTTATATTTTTCAATGAGTAATTAAGAAGCAGCTTCAGAAATACTTATAGTAGAATCAGTTGTCTACTTTAATATTTTATAATGTAGTGACTTTTATCCTTCTGTAATTTTATATAATTGATTTACAGAGCATTATCCCAAATAAACTACAAAATAAGAATATGGATGTGCCTGAATTTGTGACATTATTTTGAAGTAATGGTTAGGATTATTAAAATTAACTATAAGAGAATAAAAAGAAAGATTAGAACTCAGAATTTCCTGTCTTTCACATTTCTTTTTAACTTTTTTAATCACTTTTAAGGATCGTTTGGCTCATCATCGATGGCTCTTATTTTTTCATTTTGGAAAAAATGGAAATTCAAATGATCCTGAGTTGAAGAAACTAAAGACTCTACTTAAAAATGAACATATTCAAGTAAGAAAAATGTATTCTGCCCAACTTCCTGCTACTATGCTTTCTTATTAATACATAAAGTTATATTTTAAAGAACTAGTTTTCTTCTACAGTGTATGAAAATGTCAATCTTTTTCTTTATTATCTGCTTCTGGGGTCTCACATGAAAAGGTTTCTTTCTCCCCCACCCCAAGATTATATAAATATTCTCTATATTTTTAGAAGGGTGGCTTTCTTAAACAACTTTATATTATCTTGGAAATTTCTTCTCAGGTTTGTTAACTTTCTAGGAGCTTTTTTTTTTAAATTGTGTTTTAGTGTTAAATGTAAATTAATTACTTCTATCTCTTGTATTTATAGCCTATTAACTTCTGTTTAGAAACTGTTGTTAAAGCAGTGTCATTTTGTGATTACCCTTATGAATATTTAATTGATTGGATAAGATTTCATTTTCATCTAATTAAACCTTCTCTTTCTGCTTTAGATTGGCAAGTTTGACTGTTCCTCTGCACCAGATATCTGTAGCAATCTCTATGTTTTTCAACCATGTCTAGCAGTATTTAAAGGACAAGGAACCAAAGAATATGAAATTCATCATGGTAAGAAGGAGAAAAAATGTATCTTCATTTTCAAATAGTACAGGCATACTTCAGAGATATTGTGGGTTGGGTTCCAGATCACCACAATAAAATGAATCGTAATCTTTTTGATTGGTGAAGTTTCTTGCCTTCATTTTTTAAAAATGCAACATCTGTTCCTGGCCAGCATGGCTCAGTGGTTGAGCATAGACCTATCCCAAATAGCATTATCCCAAATAAACTACAAAATAAGAATATGGATGTGCCTGAATTTGTGACATTATTTTGAAGTAATGGTTATGATTATTAAAATTAGACCTATGCTCAACCACTGATCCAGGAGGTCACGGTTCGATTCCCGGTCAGGGCACATGCCTGGGTTGCGGCCTTAAATCCCCAGTGTGGGGTGTGCAAGAGGCAGCCAATCAATGATTCTCTCTCATCATTAATGTTTCTATCTCCCTTTTCTCTGAAATCAATAAATTAATATATATACTTTTAAAACACAACATCTGTGATGTGCAATAAAGCAAAGCACAATAAAACAAGGTTTGACTATAATTTTTAATTTTACTTTTTACCTTATATGGACATATGTATAAATAATTTGCTCTTATTTATTAATAAATTTGTTTCTTGTAAGGAAAGACATTTTTAATTATACTTAGTTATTTTATATTCTTGACTCTTGATCAGTGTTTCAGCAAGAACTGTGGTGACATGTTAGGCTAGGGAGGAATTTAAGGATCTTGCTTGTTGACCAAAGTAGCACCTATAGTGTTCATTCCAGTTTGCCAAATGTAGCATCTCAACCATTATGAGTAATTTTCAGACATTCTTTTAGATGTTTCCTCCACTAGACTACCAAGCATCTCCATTAACTGCTTTGTCATCTTCCTTGAATTTATAATCACATTTCTACATTACAGCTTGTTAGGGATTGCAACTCTGCATTCATGTAAGCGAAGTTCCAGTTCCTAGGGTTTGGGATGCATCATAGTCTCTCTCCTGAAAAGGTGAAATGTAGCAAGAGACAAGCAAACTACTACCTATCACAGTTAATAACAGATATTAACATTGTGCCTGTTAAGCCCTGTGTTAGGTGTTAGGAATGCAAAGTTGTAAGACATGGACTTGACTCTCAAGAAGCTTAAAATATCTAGTACAGGTGAGAGGAAGGAGATCTATAAGCAAATATGAAAACCAATGTAATAGCCATTATGTATAAATTAATAAAATCAAAGAGACTTTTGCATAGTATAAGTCAGGAGGTGATATTTGAATTCAGGTGACATTTGCATGCTCAATTTCCCAAAGCAAATACAGAAGAATGAGAAGTGAGTTCCTTTAGGCCATAGGAACTATGTGAACAAAGGCTTGCTTGGCAAGGTAATCCAAATAGTAATGACTATTTATTCTGTACTTTTTGGAAGGCAAACATTTTTCTAATGGCAAGGTAATCCCAATAGTAACGACTGTTTATTCTGTACTTTTTGGAAGGCAAACATTTTTCTAAAGGTTTTGCATACTTTTGTGTTTCCATTTTGTATCTTCACAACAGTCCTGCAAGGGAGAAAATTGAGGCTCAGAAAGGCTAAGTAACTTTGCCAATGACAAAAACCAGTAACTGGTCAAGTAGATTTTGTATCCAAATATATCTGACTCCAAAGTCTAGGCTTACAGTTCATTAAATGCTACCTCCTTCAAGTGACCAGGAATGACCAGGTTATAATAATGGAGTTCTGTTCTTTTTTTACCTCTGAAATATTTCTGACTCCTCTTCATTTCTGTGCTTGCTGCCTTATTTCAGATCCATCATGTACTGTATCATCCTCTGATACAGTTTTCCATCTCATAGCCTTTCTTCTTTATTGTTGGTTATTTGTTTTATTTGCATTTATTGCCCTAGAACATCTAGGAACATTCTCATGTCACTTTACTGCCTTGACTACTGATTTCTTTTAAAATAAAGTTCAGATTTCTTAGCATAGGAGCAATGACTTTATCTGTTTTGCTCACCACTCTATCTCCAGCACCTAGGATGGTGTCTGGTGTATAGTAGGAACTCAGTATATAGTTGTTAAATTAACAGTATACATTCACAATCTGTCTCTGATGGCTCTTTCAGCCTCATCTCTACCCTTCCAAATAATTACAGCTCCAGCTACTTGTGGATCTGTGAAAAAATGATGTTCTTTCACTCCTCTGTGCCTTCATATAAAATTTTTCTTCCTCCTGCATTGTAATCATTCCTTCTTGCCCCTCTAAATACAGAGGTGGCCAAAAGTAGGTTTATACTTGTGAGTACACAAAACAGAGTTTATTCTTATATTATTATTTATTAATATATTACTTTCCATACAAATATGTTTTTATAGATAAAAGGCAGAATATGGATTTTAACTTTTCTCTTACTCAATTTCAAAGGAAAGAAGATTCTCTATGATATACTTGCCTTTGCCAAAGAAAGTGTTCATTCTCATGTTACCACACTTGGACCTCAAAATTTTCCTGCCAATGACAAAGAACCATGGCTTGTTGATTTTTTTGCCCCTGTAAGTTATTTTTATCTGTCAAAATTCAGTATTGTCAGATTTTCTCTTATTACAGCAAAAAGACATTTTCTAGATAACCTTGAACCATGGGTACAGTTTGGCTGCAACCGCATATTGTATCTAAGAGAGAACTGATGTACTTTCCTCTAAGGATTAAGCATATACAAGCATAAGATTCACAACTAAGTGTGGTTTGTCTTACTTATATTGCTTGTTGCAAAAATTATGTGAGTTTTGTTGTACATTTTATTTGGCTCAGTACTTATGAATATTTTTTCTTTTGTAGTGGTGTCCACCATGTCGAGCTTTATTGCCAGAGTTACGAAAAGCATCAAAGCATCTTTATGGTCAGCTTAAATTTGGTACACTAGATTGTACAGTTCATGAGGGACTTTGTAACATGGTAAGGCAAAGTATTAAAAGTGTTTTCTAATTAATCTGATATTAAAATAACTTTTTCAAAAATATATCTACATTTAGAGTAGTAACAAATTTTTTAAACCAATAATTTCAATAAATTATGATGGATTAAAATATGATAATATATGTAGTTAAGTGTAGATATAGTCTTATTTATTAAACTCAGGAAAATATTTAGTTGACTTGATAAAATATATGATTTTTCAATTATTTAAGATCTTCATTTTTTTTAACTTTTTCAAAAATACATCTACATTTAGAGTAGTAACAAATTTTTTAAACCAATAATTTCAATAAATTATGATGGATTAAAATATGATAATATATGTAGTTAAGTACAGATATAGTCTTATTTATTAAACTCAGGAAAATATTTAGTTGACTTGATAAAATATATGATTTTTCAATTATTTAAGATCTTCATTTTTTTAACTTAATATTTCCTTTTGGAGGTCTATAGCTTTTTTCTTTGGCTTTCCTTGTAATCGTATAGCTAATAGAAGGAAATTAAAATAAATGTGATATGGGGTTAATTAATATTCACTCTTCAGTTCTAAGAAGTACTAGAAATTATATACCTCATGATGAAAGTATGCAATGCCCCCTAAAATATCCTTGGAAAAATTTTAAATCAAATCATCAGCTCTATTTAGTGTATTGAAGAACAGGTTAAGTGACAACATGGGCGTGCAATTTGCAAATCCCAGCATGTAGAGGACTTTATAGACAAACAACCAGTTTATTGGACACATTTATTAAAAGGGGAAGATTAAAGACTTAGAAGACATGCCATTCAAATGTAAGTATAGTCTTCCTGTGGATGCAATTTAAACAAACCAACTGCAAAAATAGCAAATTGGGGAAATTTGACCTCTGATAGGATATCTAATTATTTTCAGGAATTGTTAATTTTTAGATATGAAAATGGTAGTGTGGTTATATTTGGGGGAAATGCATGTTTTTAATATACTGAAATATTTATGAATGAAATGATAAGTTATCTGGAATTATCTTTAAAATAATCTTGGGATAGGGTAGAGTGGAAGGAAGTATAGAGGAATTAAGAATAGCCATGGGGCCTGGCCACAGTGGCTCAGTGGTTGAGTGTTGACTCATGAACCAAGAGAGCACAGTTTGATTCCTAGTCAGGGCACATGCTTAGGTTTTGGCCTTGATCCCCAGTAGGGATCATGCAGAAGGCAGCCAATCAGTGCTTCTCTCTCCTCAATGCTTCTGTCTCCATCCCTCTCCCTTCTCTCTCTCTAAAAAATCAATGAAAACATATTTTTAAAAAAAGAAGCCATGAGTAAATGATTGCTGTAGTCCCAAGAGTACATGAGACTTTATTGTTCTGTTTTTGTGTGTATTTTAAGTGAAATTCATAAAAACTCAAACTTTTTAAAAAAGATAAATGGAAGTGAATATAGGATGAAATGTTTATGGCATCTGTGTGAGGACTAATTTCTCACTCCACACACAAAAACTAAATATAAAAATCGATGAATATGAACGAATTTGACTACGTTAAATGTAAAAACTATTACCAAAGAGACACTATAAAGTTAAGGGAACAGGCTGCACATATAACTGACAAAGCCTTACAGTTCAGAATATTTAAAGACTATAAATCAATTTTTTAAAAAAAATTTGAAAAAAAGTTTACAGACTTATCGCAAAAGAGGAAATGCAACAAACGTAGAAAATGTTCAACTTAAACTAAGTTCAAGGGAGTAAAAAGGGACCAAGCTCAATTATCCATGCTCACTTCCCTGCATTTCATGCTTATGGGTTTTATGTCTTATGTAGTACCTGTAAGTAAGGGTTAGGTATTCATCAGTACAACTGTGAATCCAATTCTTTTGCAAATTTTGTCCAGGCTAAAATTCTTCAGTCACCAGAAATTTAGCAATGGGTCTTTTAAATCCTATTACTTAAATAAAGGCAAACTGGTTATAAATTTGAAACAAATAGGTTAAATGTATAAAATCATGTTTAATTTGTCTTCTCATTCTTAACAGTATAACATTCAGGCTTATCCAACTACAGTGGTGTTCAACCAGTCCAATGTTCATGAATACGAAGGCCATCACTCTGCTGAACAGATCTTGGAGTTCATAGAGGTATTTAAGTTAATTTAATTCTGTAGTATTATAAATTATAGAGGTAATGTAAGTTATTTTAAGTTCATGGCTGTAAATTCTTCTGTGTGTGTGTAGTCTTTGTATAAATATTTAATCATCTACACTAATAAAAGAGAAACATGGTAATTGGCGTACGACCGCTACCCTTCCCATTGGCTAATAAGGGAGATATGTAAATTAACTGTCAGCCAAGATGGCGGCCGGCAGCCAGGCAGCTTAAAGCGAACATGAGGCTTGCTTCCTTCATTGAAGGAGGAAGCCAAC